CCGCTGTATTGCGCGTGCGCGCTGGCGGGACAGCGGCCGCTTCGCGGGACGGTGGCCTCCCGGGCGGTCAGTACCAGCAACCCTGCAAATGCACTCGGGCGCCGTGGAAAAAGTGAGAAGAGGCAAAATTGGGGCTGTGCCCATTGCTCGCTCTTGCCTCCGGCTCCTCGAGGGGATTCTGGTCCCAACTCACCCAGCTTTCTACTGTACTGTCCACATCCGTGAGCGGCACCCTGAGAAGGTGAAGGCCATGATCACTGAGCTTTCTGGTGGCAGGACGCTTCCGGCCCTTTTCCTTTTGTCAGGTTGTGTGGGTCTCGCTACTTAGAGACTGCTCAGTGCTCACAGAGCAGGCTGTGCAGACCTCTGCCACACTGAAAGTTGTTGATGTGACTTTTAGGTCAGAAACGAAAACAAACAAAAACAAAATCTTTAGGACTACGAATGTAGCTCAAGGGTAGAATGCTTGCCTAGCATGCATGAGGCCAGGAGTTCCAGCCCCCAGCATTGCAGGGCGTGGAGAAGGAAAGTAAAAATCTCAGCCAGATAATGGCGGTGGCGGCCTGTACCTGTAATCCCAGCACTCTAGTAGGCCGGGTCCGTGGGATTACAAATTCAGTTCCAACTCGAGAAATTGAGGAATTTAGCGAGACCCTGTCAAGATAAAAAGGTCTGGGAATGTAAGTCAGTGTGTGAAGGCCCTGGATTCAATCCTAGTGCTGTGGGAGAATAAAGAAAAAAAGATTCCACTTAAAGTACAGCAAGCTTAAGTAGAGCCTCAGTGACTGTTCTTGTATATAACTATCACCCATCAAACAAACATTGCCAGGGTCCTGGGAGCTCTTTGTGTCCTCTCACAATTGGTACCCACGCAAAAACATACAATTCAGGTCAGACTTTTATAGATTTTTAAAGCTCTAAGCATCTGGCAAAGTACCTTGTGCATAACTGACCCCCAGATATGTGTTCGATCTTGCATACTTTGAGTCAGTGAGCTAGACAAACTGTCTTCCATTTAGCAAATGTTTAGGGTTATGTGTTGAGTATTCCAGGGCCAAAGAGGTTCTGGGGTGAATGAAACCAAAACCTCCATCTTTGAGCGCTTGCATTATAAGTGATAAGACAGAGAAACAAGCACACAACTACATACTTAATGTAGGTCAGGCACTGATTAGTGCTATGAAAAAAGGGAAAGGAAAGTAAGGAACAGGAGTGGTAGAACCAGGAGATACCTTTCTGAGGGTTTGCTATCTGAGCAGAGACCTAATTTAAATGAGGTATGTAGCTACCAGGACAAAAGTATTTCAGGGCACAAGAGGTGGTGCACACCTGTAATCCCAGGATTTGGGAGGCTGAAGCAGGAGGATTGCTGTGAGTTGAAGGCCAGCCTAGACTACATCGTCCAAAAAAATTTTTTTTTCAGTCGGAGGAAACAGCAAGTTCCAAGTCCTGGTGTGCTTGACCTGCTCGCAGAACATCAGGGAGGACCCGGGATGTAGCTCAGTGGCACCACACCTACATCTCAAGCAAAAGGTCCTGAGTTCGATCACCGATGGGGGCAGAGGGAGACTAGAACAGAGAGGTGGCGAGGGAGAGAACGGTAGAAAATAAAGGACAGGTGGCCACGAGACAGGTGTGTAAAGCATTGTATGCCACGGAGAAGACTATATTGTATGCTAAGTGTGCTCGGAAGTAATGGGAGGTTTGTGAACAGAGATGATGTGATTGATGGGTTACAGTGGCTGCTGGAGGTGGTGCCCTGGTAAAGTGCAGGACAGAAGGGAAGCCAGGTACAAGCAAGTATGGTAAAATAAGGGAGCTATAGTAACTTGGGCTAGTGTGGCAGTGATCAAAATAGTAAGAGTTGGTCATATTCTGAAGTCTTGAAGATTTTGCTAGTGTGGGTGGATTGCTTGGAGGTAGAGTGTGAGAAAAAGAGTGATCAGGAGGGTAGATTTCTGTCCCCATCCCGCAATCAAAAGATAAATTTACAAGAAATTTAGTTGTAAGATCTTAACTTCTATTTGCAAGTCTAGAATTAAGTAACAGATCACTTAAGATATGTGTATTTTTAGTGACATCCCAGTAAGAGTGGGTGTTCCAGTTAGAATGTGCAGAAACAACTCCAGACACACTCAGAAGCCAAATACCTGCACTGGAGGAAAGACAGCCTCTTTAATGAACGGCATTGGGAAAACTGGTTTTCCACTTCCTGAAGATTAAAACTGGACCCATAGCTTTCACCATGTACTAAACTAAAATCAGAATGGATCAAAGATCTAAATATTAAAACAGGAAACACTAAATCTGCTGGTAGAATAGGTACAACTCTTGAAGGCACTGATGTAGGCAAGAACTTCATGAGCAAAACCCAGACCACATGGGAAATACTACAAAGAATCAACAACTGGGAATTGATCTTATTTAAAAAGCTTTTGCCAGCAAGAAAAACCACAAACAAAGTAAAGAAACAACCCACAGCATAGGAAAAATTTTTTACCCACTGTTCATCAAAGGACTACTATCTAGAATATATAAATAACTCAAAATAATCAGGACCCCCCCCAAATTTAATCCCAATCCAAATATGGACATCTGAAATGAATAGAAACTTCTTAGATAAAGAAGTAGAAACAGCAAATAAATAAATGAAAAAATGTTCAACATCACTGGTCATTTGTGAAATGCAAATTAAAACAATGTTAAGATTCCATCTCACTCTAGAAAGAATGGCTGCTTTCAAGAAATCAATAAATGCTGGAGGATCTGTGGGGGAAAATAACCCTTTTCCACTGTTGGTGGGAGTGCAGACTGGTGCAACCACTGTGGAAATCAGTGTGGAGATTTCTCGAAAAACAAACTAGAGGTTCCATTTTAATGAGCTATTCCCCTTCGTGGTATCTTCCTGAAAGAAAAGTATCACACCACAGAAATATATGCACACCCATGTTTAGCGGCACAGTTTATAATAGCTAAATCCTGGAAGCAGCCCAAATACCCATCAACCAACAAATGGGATAAAGAAGATGTGGGTTTTTTATAGAATGGAGTACTACTGTGCCATAAAGAAGGATGAGCTTGAGACATTTGCAGCTAAATGGATGGACCTTGAGACCATACTCAAGTGAAATAAATAGGACACATGTTTACTGCATTGTTTCTCTGATGTGAGAAAGAAATAAAGATCAAAATGTATAATAGATATTGGACAATGGGAAGAAAAATGTTCGAAAGCAAAGAGGAGCAAGGGAGGAGGAAGGGAAAAAGGAAGAAGGGGACAAGAAAAAAAAAGGAGAAAATACAATGAAAAAATGGAAACAACGCTTTTGCACGTAGGGAAGGGGTTGAGGGGAAGGGGCAATGGGGGAAAAGGTGGGATGTGCCATGTACAGGTGCCACTTCCCTATTATAAGTGTTATCATTATGTATGCCTAAAATGTACCAATAAATGTTTTGCTATAAAAAAATAAAACACTGAAGCAATTTTTTAAAAATAGAACGAGTGTTCCCATGATCTGAGGAGAGGAGGCTGACTTTGTAGACAGAAGAAGACTGGGGAAGCAGAAACCGAACAAAAAGTGAGCTGGTTTGTCTCCGAATTACTTTCCTTGTGAAGATGAAAGCAGGGGGAACTTTATTATACCAACTAAAATATGCCTGTTTGGGAATTTAGCTCCTTTTTCCCCTCCTGATTCTTGGAAGGTCAGCTAAACAATTGCATTTTGGCTTCAGATTTGAAGCAGTGTGGAACTTCAGCATGAGCGGCTCCTTTTTGGTTTGGTCTATTGTCCAAACCCATGGCCTCTCACAGACTGTGCTTAACACCCCTCTGTACAGTAATATCCCGGGTGACCAAGTGAATCGTGCTGGCGTCTGCTACTGGAAAGGAGGCAGGGTAGGAGGAGAGGGGTACAGAATAAACAGTGAAGGTCTCGTTTGGGACATTCCAGGAGTCTGAGGAGCCTGTTGAATATCAGGTTGGATAGTAAAATCCGGAATTCAGGACAAAGTCAAGGCTGGTGGTGCATACTGAGAGACTGGCAAATGTGTGGTGTGTAAGCTCTGAGACTGAGCGTGCAGAGTAAGTGTGAGCAAGAGCATACTTGAGCCCCGAGCCATGAGTGGATTGGAGATGGTTTGTAAAACAAAGAAGAATGGGATTTGGTGCCTCCCGGTTCTCTTACGGAGAAAGCACAGGAAATGCCTTGGCCATCTTGGTGCGATATGAGTAGGTCTGCTTTTTCTAAAGAGACTGGAGACCCTCTTAATTCATTGTGTGTCCCACTTTCTAAGGACACTCAGACCTTAGAGCTGTATTTATCTAGCAGGCTGTAGGATTAAGGTGTGTGATTTGCGGGCTGTTGGAATCAGGGTCGCTGGCTCGTGTGGCACCTTCGGAAGGGTTAAGTGAGGAAGGTGTGATGAAGAAATTAGTTTTGAAGGTGCAGCAAGAGGAAAGCAGCCAGCAAGGCGTGGCCTCCTGGGTGGAAGCAGCAATGTAACAGGGTGGTTATTAGAACCCAGTGGGGTCTGCAGCTGCAGCGAAGCCAGGGGTAAAGGCACCCTCGAGGGAGTGCAGAGCAGGTAGAGAAGGGTAGAAGGAGAATCAGCAGAAGTGAACAGGAAATGTGCAGGCGAACACGAACCCCATACCTGCTCTATCTTGCTTTGGTAGCCTTGTTTCCCTGCTTTCTTTTCTTATTTAATATGAAATTATTTGTCTTGTACCTTGTAAACCTCTTTAAATCCTTTCTCGGAAGAGGCTGAAAGATGGGAAGAGAGATGAAACATGATCGTGACGAACCAATTGCTGCCATTAAGGGTTCCCAAAGTGTACTTCACGTGTGAATTTAGTGAATTTTTTCCTTTGGGGGAATGGGGTGGGTGAGCTTGGATGGGGCATCTAGGCGTAGAAGCCAGGACACTGATAAACATCCTGCAGGGTACGGGACAGGCCCCACAGCGAAATCATCTGGGCCACAACGTCAAGAGTGCCGGGGCTGAGCGGCCCATCAGGAGAATGAATGTCAGCTTCAGGCCTCTTGAGGCTTAGGCTTAAAACTTTTTTTTGTTTCAGCACTGTAGACGGAACCAGTGCCCTTTGCACTGAGCTACATCCCCAGCCCTATTTTACTTTTGATTTGGAGACAAGGTCTGATCTTGCTAAGCTGGTGAATTGTGCAGGCTGGGCTCAAACGCACGACAGCCTGGGATGACAGGCACGCCTGGCTTTAAAATTCACACGGCTCCATGTTCACGTCATTCTACCTATCCAAATATAACAAGCTAGGCCGGGTTCCAGGAGTTGAGAAATAGATGATTCTTTTTCCTAGGAGGAATTAAAAAGAATTTATAAATCTCTGTTACCTACTTCAAAAGCATATACTTTGAGGTGGGCTGAGGACGGTGAATCTGATGTTTTTTTTTTATTATGAAATACTTGGATATACAAGATTATATATTGTATTAATATATTTATAAATCACAGATAAATGCCCACTTGGCCTGTGGCCCTGGGTTATATAGTACATTATTTGACCCTAACCTTTATCCCCCTCTATCCGTATCATCCTCTTTCTTTGGCTTTAAACTGAGCTGTGCACAGGGCTATGGACAAACAGAATGATAGCGGGAGTTATGCAAACAGTGGCTGAAGTGGTTTACTCTGTATGCAAGTGCACCCTCTAATACTCCAAACTGCCATGACACGAGCGTGCAATGTCTACCAACTGGTTCAGGAACAGTGAGGCCCAGCTGACGGCAGTCAGGCTGCTGACACACACACCTGCAGTTCACAGGCGTTTAAAGCTGAGCTCCCCAGTGGAGCCCAGCCTAAAATAGCAGACGCCCAGCTCACCTGAAGATGTGTGAAAAGTAGATGTTTCTTTCACATCACACACACACACAAAATATATATATATTTATATAAAAATATATATTAAAAAATATATGTATAATTTTAACAGGGATTGAACTCAAGACCTTGTGCTTGTGAGGCAGGTGCAGCGCCACTGAGCTAAATCCCCAGGCCTATCACCAAAATTGTGTGGTTGTTGCGCAGTAAAAGCAACCAATACATGAAAAAAACACCTCACAAAAAATATTTCCTTGAAGTCAGTCCCCTGTGTCCCTGTGCTGGCTTCCTCTCACTTCTTCGTTCTGATAAACTGATGGGTACATTGGTAGATTTTCTGTTGTAAACCCATCCTCCATTCCTGCAACAAGCAAGCACGGTTGCTCTATAAAAATTCAGAGAGCACTTCAGTGTGATAAGTTTTAGGAATTTTGTATCTATGCTTATTAATGTCCTACAATTTTTATGTACTACCATTGAAAGTTTTGAGTTTTAGGGTTGTACTATCTGATAAAATAAGCTGAACTCTGCCTCCATTTCTACACCTTTCTAGTTTTCTAGAATGTTTGGATAAAATAAGAATTAACTGCTTCTTTGGTAGGACTTAGAAGTAAAACCATGTGGACTGGAATGTTTTCTTGGATCAGATAAATGAATGCAAAGTACAATATAGTCAATTCATAGATGGTTAATTCAACCTCACAGAAAAAGGGTTAAGAAATAGATCATTAATCTATCCTGCCTGATACATTTAGGGTGTCTTGAGTAAAAATAAAAAA